GGGGGGGGGGGGGGGGGGGGGGTACCACATGGTGGCTAGCCAAGCATCAGCTGTACTCCCAGGGCGGCTGGCTTCCACAGCCAAGCTGTACTCACCTTGCCAAAACTGTCCGCATACTCCCGGTACTCGGAGGACATCTCCTGAACACAAGGGCAAGCGGCTAAGGGGCCTTGCCCTCCTGACTGCCAACCCTGGGACTGGCATGCCATGGTCCCAGAGCCCACTGAGGGCATGGTCAGGGACAAGAGGCAGGGTGACCCCAAGGGTGGATGGGAAGTGTGCTCTCCCTCCCCATAGTTGTCCTCGATCCCAGCACCCAAGTCCCAGTCCCTCTTCCTTTGGACTCACCTGGCTGCTGTGGTGGGCCTTGGTCACCAGCAGCATGCGACCCACGAGGTCTGTGGTGGATACACCCTGGGTGCGTTTGCACTCTCTGGGGCAGAGGTAGGGTGGAGGTTTTCATCCAGGACACACTCCTGAGGCGCTGCCATAGGTGGAACCTACCTGAGGGACATGACCCTAACCCTGTCTCCCACAACAGAAAACCAGACTGGAGCAGGGGATAGGGCTCATGTCAGAGACAGGAAGTGATGGGAGAAGAGGTTCACTGAACTGTACGTGGGCAGCAACACCAGGGAGGAGACAGGACACAGCTGGGCATGACACTTCTGGTCCCCATTCTGACACCGTGCCTTCTGGCCTCCCTCACACCCACATCCCGTACTCTGCTGTACATTCTCTGCCAAGGTGAGTCCAGGCTGCACTGGCCCCTGCAGGAACCACTGGCCATAGCAGGTTCTTTAAATTATGGTTAATTAAAGTCAGTTCCCCAGGGGTACCAGCAATACCACAGAGCCCGTGGATGCTGTTTGAAGAATGCTGCTCTTACAAAGCTCTGCCTGGCAGCACAGCCCTGAAGCAGCCCTGGGACTGGCCACACAGAGGGTTACTGGGCCTATCCCCACAAGCCCCTCCCCTCCTGTAGTTCCCAGTCCTGGTGTGGCCCAGATGCTCTTTGCAGGTTACTTCCAAACAGCAGAGGGGGAATAAGGGGACTCCTTGAGCACCACTCCCAGAACCTACCTGTACCTCCCAGCCTGCTTCACTTCCTCGTAGGTATCTTGGCCATCTACCGTCAGCGTGATGTCATCTAGGGGTGATGTGCACACACAGAAAAAGGTCTGTTTTTCTGAGTAGTCATGCTTTATAACTCAGGCTGACCTGGAACGTTTTATCCTCCTGTCTCATCTTCTCCAATATTAGATTATAGGTGTGTGCCATCTGGGCTCACAAACAAGGATTCTTGTTGTTTTGTTTTGGGACAGGGTCTCTCTGTAGGCCAAGCTGACCTCAATCTCACAGAGTTCTGCCTACCTTCGCTGAGATTAAAGATGGGCCACCACTCCCAGCTCATAAACAAGGATTCTTAACTCAGAGGCCCATGGCGACCCAGACCTTTAGTCCCAGCCTGCCCTTGCACTTGTGCTGTTCTTTCTGAGGATGGAATCTACGCTTTCTCACATCTTTGGCGAACCTGTCAGACCTCACCCTTAGCCCAGCCCCCATCTCCAGTCCCTGCCCACTCACTGCCATGAACACAGAAGTCACAGTTGTACTTGTCCAGTGTCTCCAGTGTAGTGACGTAGGGAGCAGCGGGCACCACCTCATCCACCCACTTGATGGCCTGCACCATCTTGTACCTCTCCTCCTGGGTAAACACTGGGGGCCCCTTGTGCTTGGCAATCTCCTCTGGCGCCAGAAAAAAGGACAAAGACAAAACAACAAGTGACATCTAGCTCCAAAGCCCAGTTCTCAGGAGTCTCTGTCTCAGCACTGAGCAGGGACAATCACCACACAGGAGGGGTGCTGTGGTGAGCCTTAGCTCACAGGGCAGTGGCCACTGCACTGTCGTCTAGCCAGCATGCGTGTTCAGGGTGTTTGCTGGATAATAGGGTGGCTTATAATCAAGCAGAATCATTAGTCTCTTCTGGCTTCAGAAGCCAGGGAAGGGGTAGATGGCATAGTTGGAGACTCAGTCTGGTGATAGCACTACTCTCTACAGCAAGGGCCAAGCTGGGTCACTTGCTAAATGCAGTAAGTCACTGCTGTGCTCTAGAGAAGGATGTAGGGGCCATCCTGCCTATGCCCTGGACCTTGAAGGCTTGGTCAGTTGGGGTAGGCCCAGGCAGACTGTGAGGTGATTGGTGGGTACAGTGGCCCACACCTTACCATCAGTATGCACACCGACGATGAGGTAGTCGCCCATGGCCCGGGCCTGGCGCAGCTGGTTGGAGTGACCATAATGTACCATGTCATAGCTGTGAGGACAGACAGGGTGGTCAAGTCCTGTACTGAGGAAGGCTGGAATTCGGGGGCCCTGTGCAGGGGTCTGCTTTGCCCCTTTGGGAAGCCCCCACCAAGAACTGCTTCCCCAGGATCCCTGGGTGTTGAGCTTACAAAGGGAAAAATCAGCTCCCAGTTGTCCATGTCCCCAGATACTGGTCTAACAAGAGTAGCAAGTTCAGGGACAAGGCCTGGTGAGCTTCCATGACAGTCTAGCTCAGTGGGAGATACATGGCCATTTTCTGGTGCCTTGGACTGTCTCTGCTCTGTTGCTATGGGCAAATATTTCAAGCTACTGCTTTTTCTTTGCTGTTGCTTGAGATAGGACCTTTTTTCTTTTTTTTGAGACAGGGTCTCCCAGTAGCCCCAGCTAGCCTGGAACTCATTCTGTAGACCAGGCTGGTCTCGAACTCACAGAGATCCACCTGCCCCTGCCTCCCGAGTGCTGGGATTAAAGGTGTGAGCCACCACGCCTGGCAAGATAGGTCCTTTTATAGCCCAGGCCAGCCTCAAACTCACGGAGCAGTCAAGAAATGACCATGAATATCCTGACTGTTGCTTTACCTGCTGGGATTACACCAGACCCATCTATTCAGTACTAGAGATTAAACACAGGGCTAGGAAAATACCAACTGAGCTACATCTCTATACCAGGAGAAGAGCTTGTCCAGGACTTGAACCTGGGACCTTTTGCAACCCAAGGAAGAATGATCCCCTAGATCAATGATCCACATTCAACCTTTAAAATAAGGTAACAAGCTGGGCGTGGTGGCGCACACCTTTAATCCCAGCACTCGGGAGGCAGAGGCAGGCGGATCTCTGTGAGTTAGAGACCAGCCTGGTCTTCATGGTGAATCCAGGACAGCTGGGGCTACAGGGAAACCCTGTCTCAAAAAGACTAAAAAAAAAAAAAAAAAAGTTAACAGTTCAGAGTTGGGAGTAGATTCTTTTCTACCCTGAGGCAGAGGCAAGTGGGCAGTCCTTGGAGCCAACATAAAACAAAAAATCTAAAGAACGAGGGCCTGGGAATCCCTGGAATCCCCAGCTTTGAAATGCAGTTGCCTGTCCCCATGGCCTGGCTTAGTTCTCTGGGTGAATGAGTGCCAGTCATTTGGTTCTGAAGTTTTTATCCTCAAATCTAGGTCTGGCCATGAGTTTGATGTCCAAGTCAAGGCTACCCCTCAGAGCCCTGCATCAGGCTGGGCCTGAGGGTGCTCCACAGGCCCACTGTTGGGTGACAGACTTTGCATTTTCCAGAGCGCCCCACCAGTTTGTGCGGTCATCATCACCTTTGAGCAGCCCTGCATTGTCACCACAATTCAGGGGTCCCATCAGTCAAGCCTGGTAGGTTCAGACACAGGCTAAAGTCTGGGCCAGCCCGTTTCCCCACTAGACAGGCCGGGCAGGACCAGGAGTCAGAGGCTGGGTCATGGGCACAGAACAGGAAAGGAGTGTGCCTCTCAGTCCAGGACTGTGGCAGGGCCAAGGTCATAGTCCAGTGCCACGAAGTCAAAGCCTAGTTTCTTCTTTAGGTGACTCAGATGCAAAAGGGGCTGAGGGTGTTCAGTGGAGGAGCACTTGCCTCGAGCGCACCAGGCTGAGTTGCACCCCAAGACCACCAATACAAAAACAAAAAGAACGCTCAGAGTCCTGCCTGCTCCCCCACTCCCTCTGGAGCCTGGTGATGAGTCCCCATCCATCCGGGCACGCACGTGGGAACGCCGGGCGCAGAAGTTCTAGGAACGCCAACATTTCTGCTTGACAGCGCCACTCTTCTGAAAGCAACGTCACCGACTGCCTAGCAGCGAACACATCGCATCCCACCCCGTGACCCCGGGAGCCCCGCGCTCTGCCAGCCTCGGGCCGCATTTCCGGTCCCTCGCGTGCACGCTCCCCTCCGGTGCGCCCGGCTGGCCTCGTGCACCCGCAGCCCCGGGTCCGGGATGGCGGTCCCCGCACGCCCTGGGCGCACGGCGGAGGTGGCAGTCCAGCCAACGGCCGGCACGCGACCCCGCGGTGCCCGGCCGCCACCGCCCACTCACCAGCCGTCACACCACACCCGCACGGCGCGCCTGCCCGCCGGGCCCCGCCGCTCGGCCCCTCCGGCCACCCCGTGCCCGTTCCGGATCATGGCCCCGCAGGCCCTACACGATCCGGCAGCTCCCGGGACTCGAGCTCCGTCGCCCCGCCCTCCTCTCGCGCGTTCTCACGCGGGCCTCACCCGTCCGGCGCGGCCAATGGCGTGCACCGCCCTAAGCCCCGCCCCGCCCCCGCCCCCGAGCCCCGCCGGGCAACGCTCCTGCGCAGTCCCCGGCCCGGGTGGCCAGCGGCCCGTGTCCGACCCCGAGACCCAGGGGCGCTACTCCAGGCCCGGCCCCGGCCGCCCCACTCGGCGGCAGTGCAGCAGGCGCCTACCGTGGCTGGCCTCGAGCACCGGCCAGGATCAGCAATCTGGGGGCCTTAGAGGTCCCGATGGCCCCACAACACTCGGCGTGCGCACGGCACTCATCGGACACAAGGCAGTTAGAGATGTTTAATAAGGTCTGCTCAGAGCCGAGGCTGGCTAGTACCAGCTAGTGCCGCATACCCAACACAGAAAAAGGTTTCTATAAAGTTAACACTTTTTAGTACGAAGTAGTAGAAATCGGGGGCCCTGAGACTAGCCTGGAGAGTGAGGTAAGGCAGGGGTGGGCTCCTCTGCTGGCCAGGCGGGGGAAAGACCCTCTGCTCTCACAGAAAGGCCTTGCTGCCACCTTTGTGGAAGGGTTGATGGGAAGGAGGTGTCCTTGAAGGTCAAGCCCTATGGGGGCAATCACAGCAGTGCAAGGGGCTTCCCACAAGGACAAATGGCTAAAGAAGTCACCCTGAAACGTCACCCCCAAGAGTGTCCCACTACCCCATGGGGGGCACCCTGGCTTTCATGGTGACACTGGCCCCTGAACAAGAGTCACAGCCATCTGCAAAGTGCCAACTGTTCTTCATCAACACTAGCTTATGTAGCTTTCTTCCTTTTCCCACGCTTTGCACAGCCCCTGCCAAACCAGCCCCCTAGAATGGGGACTGAGCTAGGTGGAGCACCCTGGTCTCCCTGTGGGGCTTCCTCTCGGCTTCTGCATAGTGACTTCCGACTGTGGCTGCTTTCTTCACCAGCACGCAGTGGAGTTGCCAGGGAGAAGATGGGGTCTTGCCACCTGTGGAGAAGGAAAGCAGCATCAGGCAGGTCTGAGAGCTTCTGAGCTGCAACCCTCCCAGGCACAGGAAAGCTGTCTAAGCCCACCTGTCATCCTGCCCCTTCCCTCCCTGTGTCTTAGTGTAACTGGGGTTTGGTCGGCAGCAGGAGTAATCTCGGGTGGCAACACAAGGCTAGCACTGGCCCTTGCTGGCCTCTTCAGGGTCTTGTCCACCATTAGCAGCCCTGGCACATAGGGAAGGTAGCACCAGCCCCAACCCAGGGCCCCACCTTGCACTTGTAAGGCTGGAGGCAGGCGGACCAGACCCTCTTCCCCTTCCCAGACTGCATGACAGGGATGAGAGGGAAGACCAGTTGACTAGGGAGGTGTGGCCTACAGACTACACCATGAAGAAATCATGTGTCTGGTTGAGATGTAGAATCACATATCATAAACTTAAGATACAGATAAGCACTGATAAAGAAATGAGCTAAGTTAATGTAAAAAACAAAACAAAACAAAACCAATACAGAACAGGATAGGCCCACGCCACAGAACACCACAAACATAACATACAAGAATTGCCAGGCCCAGAGGTGAAGGGATCCTTAATTTCTTGAACCCTTTGATTAAAAGAAGTTATTGATTTCCCCTATAAGACCCTGAAAATTCACAGAGAAAGAAAGTGTAAACTTTTCACTCAATATACACACCAAATCTAAATTATTACAAATTCTGTTTCAAAGCAGTTTGATTAAGCTTTCCCCAAAAACGCCAACTCCCAAAACCAAGGACACAGATTCTGTCTGAGCAGGGTTGCAGAGTCCTCATCCCCTGTGGATTTCCACTGAGGTGAAAAAGGTGTGTGGGGAAGCGTCCTGTAGAACACACTGGCAGACCCTTTCCCTACAGGGATTCTGGGCTCCACACCAGCCGGGGCAGAACTGTGTACACATGTGGCCGAGCCTGACCTCAGCCAGTCCTTCTGGAGGCTACCACACCTGAGAGCTTCCTCCAGGCTTGGTTCACAAAAGACAGACACAGCCCATCACACAGAAGGGCAGAAATGGGGGGGTCATGCTGCACCCACTCACCTATTGTAGAGGGGGATCTCCAGGCCCAGCTCATCCATGAGAAGCTGCATTACATCATCACATTTTCCATGAAGTTTCAGAGCAGCCCAGTCATCCTTTGGGGTCCACTGAAGACAAGAGGGAACTGAGGTAACTCCCCACCCTTTTCCTGTCCCCTACACACTGGGGGTCTGAGCTCTCCAGGAACCCACTATCCTGTACAAGACCTCCAGGGTATGTGAATGTGGTCTGTCAGTCTGTCTCTTCTGATCTAAGTCCCAGCTTTGGCACCTGTGTTACCTGCAAGTTCACAATGTAGAGTTTGGGCCGCCGGCTGGGAGGCTTGGTCATGCACCAGAGGCAGGGGTACTTCTTCAGTACCTGTGGGAATGGACGACAACACACACACATAAAGGAGGACACTGAAGACGGCAAATCTAATGCCCAGGAACGGCTCTGGGCCGGCAGGCTGGCAATATACCCAACACACAATGCATTCACGGTGTCATCAGCACATACCTTCAAGCTGGACCCTAAACACAGGATTGTGTCTGCTTTGCTAGCAGCCTCAGTCGCTGCCTCCCAGTTCAGAGGCTGCCCCAACGTCCCCCTCTCCCCAAAATGCACAATGGTGTCTCTGAGCTGAGTTCCACACTTATGGCAGGTCCGGCCGGTATGGTGTCGGTGGAGGGCAGTACGCTCTGTCACGTCAAACACTCGCACATATTCCCTGTTAGGGATGCAGGAGGTGCAGACCTGAGGATGAGATGGCAGAGTGAGTGAGTGGAGGCCTGTCCCCAGGGCCCGGGTGTCCCCCTGGTACTGCTCACTTCGATATACATGTTCCCGTGGAGCTCTGAGATGGCAGTGCGTGGCAGGCCGCTGCGCAGGTGGAGCCCATCACAGTTCTGAGACACCACATGCTGCACCTGGACAGGCAGAACATGGTGGCAGTCACAAGAGGGATGGGGAAGCACTCTGTAGCACTGAAATTGCCGAGTCCAGTATGGCCAAGGGTTCCTAAGATAAGGACCCAGGAGGGCCCTGTGGTAGGGAGGAGCTGTGTGCTCCCTTACCAGCTCTGACGCACTGGGAACCAGCAGGAGGGCAAAGCATCCCTGCAAGTCTGGGGAGCAGCTTGGGATGATGGTAAGGGGAGGGCAGGCATGGCTACCTGCCTCCCACCGATCACCTGGTGGTTCACTGTTTCTGGTTCCCCGAGAGCCCAGGAAGATCCCCTTCCCAACCTGAAGATGCTCAGATCATCTTTGGTGGTTTCTGACAAACCTCCCCTGTAGCTAGGAGGTTATCTAAGGCCCCTGAAGCAATACAAAAGAAGCTGGAGGGGAAGCAAGAGGCTGGCCCTCAAGGGTACAGTTCAGGGCAGGGGTGCCCATTCTCCTTGGAGAGGAAGCACAGCAAGGTCAGACAGGAGTCCAACCTTCTGGGAGGTGTTTATCATAGGGCTGGTTGGGAGGTGGGAGTAGCTCTGGGCTCTTACCAGCTTTTGCTCATGCAAACGGGTGATGCTCATGTGGGTGAGGGTAGGCTCTGCTTCACTTAAGTCTGCAGCGCTGTATGACAGAAAACACAGGTGGAAGAGCTTCGAGTCAGGCAGGTGCGGCGACTCTTGCTCACCACGAAGAAGCTGTGAGATACTCACCTCACGCTTCTCCCTTTCTGCAGCAGTGTCCACACTCCATTTGGGCCCCGGTAATCTGGTATAGAAGCTGCCTGCACATTCAGATGAAAAGTGCATGAAGGGACTCAGCATGGGAAATGCAGCACTCCTCCAAACAGGGCATGTCACAGTCCAGGTCCACCGACACACTAGTGTGTTCCATGCAATGCTGACCCCCAAGTGTAACGTACCCCAGTGTCGCTCTTTCCCTCTAATTTCCCCTTCCTGTCTGACCCAGCTCATCCTTCCAGACCCCACAAGCCCTGTTCCTCTTCAGGGGCCTCTCCAGTACTGAGCAGAAACCTGGGCTCTGTGGTCACATCTGTTTCCCACACTGAAGGGGAGAATCGGTCAGGTTCATCAGTATCCCTGGGACCAGGCCTAATGCTGAAGTGATGTTAAGTAAATGGTGAGCCCCTGGGGGTGAGGTGGGCACTCCCCTATCCAAAGACTTCTATCTTGAAGCTCTGAATAGTTCTCACTAATGTATACAAAACAACTTCTACAGATGAGACAAGTGTTAGCTAACTTTACAAAACACACAGAAAGCATCTAGATCCAGAAGTCTTGGGATCCTGTTGGAGGAAGTCTGGGATCCTCACTGCTGCTTAAGCTTAGAGCGGTGCCCACCCCAACCAGTTCTGCCACATTCAGGAAGCGAACCTTAAACAGTCCTCACCTCAAACTGACAAGCTGCACGTGGTACTTAGTTGTCACTGACATCACTATTGTAAAGTCTTGACTGGCTATGGAGGGCTGGGCCCCAAATGCTTATGTCCGACGACTTTATGTCAGAACAGCAAATTCCTTACATGGCTACTGGGACTTTGCTGTCTGTCTGGAGTGTTTCCCACCCCCACCTTTCCCTGTAGGACCCTATCTCTGACACCACACCAGCAGCAAGTCCACCAGGATGGGCTTCCCAGGTCTGGGGGACTGTGTATGCCAGAGTCAGCTTTGCATTATGCTTGTTTACTCATGTCTGGTGGCTATTATGTAAGGCTCCTTTGTGTGTGTATGTTTGTATACATATTTCCATGTGTGCGGTGTGGGTGTGCATATGCACTTGTGAGCCCATGCACAGGGAGGCAAAAGATCTAGTGTCTTCCTGAATCACTCTCCACTTTTTAAAGAAAGACATTTATTTATTGGGGCGGGTGTGTGTGTGTGTGTGTGCACGTGCACGCACTCATGCCACAGCACACACGTGGAGGGGGTCAGAAGGCAACTTTCAGGAGTTGGTTTCTCTCCTACCATGTGTGTTCTGAAGCTTAAACCCAGGTCATCAGGCTTGGCAGTGAGCACCTGTTTACCCACTGCCCCACCTTACTGAGTTAAGGTCTTTCACTGAACTTGGTTGACTAGATAACACCAAGCTCCAGGTATCCCCCATCTTGTCTCCCCAGTGCTGGGATTACAGATGTGTACTGCACCTGGGTTTTCTCACATGGGTTCTGGGAGACCGAACTCAGTTCCTTGTTTATAGCAATGAGGCATCTCCCCTGACCATTTGAGTTTGAGGGTAGCAGGCAGCTGGTATTCATCTGTTGGCCTACACATACCACACACCCCACAATCCCCCCTAATTATACGTCAGTCACTTTCAAAGCTAGACACGTCCCTTAGCGCATTCCCTCTCAGTACCTGCTGTACTGTGAGACTTAATGTCTTACCTTTTTTTCTTCAACCTTAGCCCAGGCTGGTCTCAAACTTTTTGTCTGTTTGACACAAGATCTCCCTTTAGTTTCAGCTGGCCTGGAACTTGCTATGTAGACAAGGCTGGCCTCATCTCACAGAGACCCACCTGCCACTGCCTCCCAGTGCTGGGATTAAAGGGCTATGCCACCACATCGCGGCTAGCCTCAAACTCTTGATCCCCCTCATCAGTGTTCACTTCCTGAGCTCTTGGTGACATCTGGGACACCACAGTTGGCTTGTCTGGCCTTCTATTTACCCTTCTTCAAGAAACGGGTCCGGGAGGCAGTCTGGGGCTCAGGTCTGCCCACATCACCTGGGTTCATCAGTGGGCTTTCTTCATGAGAAGGTGCCAGCAGGAGGCCGGCCACTGGGCCCGATGGGACTGAGAAGTTCCCCACCTCCAGCACCTAGCTCGGTCTCGGTCAGCACCCAGGAGGGGGCGCCCTCTGCCGCCGAACCTACCGTGCTGATCCCCGCGCCGGTATACACCACCAAGTGTTTGGCGTTGCGGACGGCTCCGGCCAGCTCCCGCACCTTCCTCCGCAGCTCCTCCGGGTCATCGCACACCTGCGGGAGCCCGGGCTGTCACGCCGCCCCCTGCATCCCCGGCCCCCGGCATCCCCGCCGCACGTCCGGGCACCCGGACTCGCCTCCTCCTGCCGCCGCTTGAGGCCCTCCCGCCGCCGGCTCCGGCCCTGCAGCTCGGTCACCAGGTCCGCGCTCTCGGCCAGCACTCGGCCCTCCTCGGCGCTGCGTTCGGCCGCCGCCTTCCTCAGGATGCGCGACACCTGCGGGCGGGCAGGCGGTGAGCGGCGGCGCGCGCGGGTCGGGCGCGGGGATGGCGGCGGCCTACCTGGCGGAGGCGCTCCCGCTGCTGCTCCTCCCGCAGCCTCCGGACCCGCTCTGCCGCCTTGCGCTCCGAGCGGCTCAGCCCGCCGCCGGCTGCCATCGTTCCCCGGGCCGCGCTTCCGGCTTCCGCTTCCGCCTCGCCCGGCAGCCGCCTGAGCACGCCGCGCCAGCCCCGCCCCTTCCGGCCGGCCCTGCCCACTCGGGCCACGCCACCTCCTGTCCGCTCCTTTCCAAAGAAAACACCTGCCATTCTCTTTAAAAGGCGTTTATTGATCATATACAAAATAAAGAAAACCTTATATATCACAAACATACACTATGTACAGCAATAAATACCTGGGGGGCCAGGCCCAGCGCCGCCCCTCCTGGACAATAATTTAGCAATAAATACTGCGCAGGGCACGGGTGGGCACCAAGACTGCTGCCCGCCGAGTGCAGGCTGCTGAGCGCTCTACACTGGTGCGAACGTCCAGGCCTCACCTCGTAGCCAGATCCCTGATGGCCCTACTCGGGTGCAAAAGCCCGGGTCTCACCTAGCAGCCAGACCCTAGCCCCTCTTCACTTAGATCTTTAAGGATCCACCACCCCATTCCAGGGTACCCGCTACTCACCTCCCCCTGGCTTCAGCCCTGCAGGGCAGGCAGGGGCTGATCAACTCTGCTTGGACACACCTCTCAGCACCAGGAGACCAACAGAGCTGGACACACAGTAGCCCTTGTCCTGTTGCCCTAAGTTGCCAGGAGAAGGCTTTCTGTACCTGCTCCCATTTGGTTAAAGGCTTCAGGAACTAGCAGACAGAAGGGAGGGAAGGCAGGGCTGGGACATGAGGTTGCTGGAGGGGCCAAAAGTCCAACTAGGGTCTTAGAGAACAGGGAATTCTGTCCCTAGAACACTCCACCTCAGACTCCAGAGACAACCATGCTATGGATGCTGCTACTCCAAGGGCAGGGCACAGACACGTGCAGCTGGCCAAGCATGTATAGGACACGCCCAGGACACAGGCCAGAAGCAAGGCCAAGCCATGAACAGCCCTGGCACACCCCTGCCTCTGGTGTGGTACTCATTCTGTCTTCTGCTCTCCACAACTGCTCCCTCACCAGCCAGCCAACAAGAAAGGTGGAAAGATGCCAAGCATTATTCGGTGGCTTCTGGGGAAAAAAAATCGTTAATGTGTTGGTTCCCTTTCACCAAACCACAGCCTAAAAAAGTAACTCAGAAGATCCCAGAGCGGAAACAGTGCAGCAGGCTGTGGCTCAGATGTCCCAGCTGTGGATAGACGCTTTGGGCAAATGGCCACATCAGAGAGGGAGGTAGCAGGGACACTGCCTCATCATCTCAAAGCCAGCTGTAGTCTATCAGAACTGCGAACCCTGGCACTGACACCAAGGATACTGCTCATACAGGAGTACACACTGACCTGAAAGCTAGACCAAGAACACCCTGCAGGGAGGCCTGCTGCTGACAGTGAGCCCAGTCCAATTCCACACCCAGCACTAATGGTACAATACCCAGGGTCAGCAGCCAGACACAACAGAGGGAACTCTCAGGTCACACTCTCCAGAGCTGACCATGTGGGTGTGTCCAGGATAGAGTAAGGAAGGAGGTGAGTCAAAGTCAAGGTAGGAGGGAAGTCGCACATTATGGTTTACTTAGCGGAGAAGTTTGGGCAACCTGGCTTTGGCCAAAGTCCTCCATTTGCTGTGTCAGAAAAGTCGAGAGAACACAACACCCTCACAGCAGGAAAACGGAATTAACAACGATCAGAGACAGTTAACAGTCACACTTGGACAGAGGATCTACTGTCAAGAAATCAAGGTGAAGGGAAATGGAGTGGCACTACAGGGCTGGCGCAGCAGCAAACAGGAATACTCCCCCAAACACAAGAGCACCTGCTGCAAATCCAAAAAACCTGTGAAAAGCATGGCCTTGCCAATTTCAGAAGCTTCTGTAAATCCAAGACCTGCCACTTGTGTTCAGCACATGCCAACCTCAACCTACCTCCTCTTCCTCACCCAAGTCCTCACAGCAGAATGGAGCTACTGTACCTAGAGAGCCATGTTCAGCAACACCCTACCACCCACCCAGGACCAAGGGACACAGAAGGCCTGTCCCTCTCTTCCACTAAACATGGGGCTGATCCATTCCAATTCTGCAGTCACAGCCAGCATCACCAACCCACCTGGATACCAGTGAAAAAACCAAAGGGAGGGATGAGGTCACCGGATATGACTTAGTCAACAGTCCAGATTTCTACTTGCAACAGTCTCAGGCACCAACGCGAGTGTCTTGAGTGCCTTAAGCCAAAGAAGCCACCAAAAGGCCAGGGCTGGCAGATGCCCTCTTCCCAGAGCATTTTATGCTGGGACAAACTGGGTGAAATCCCTGCTGCCCACGAGGTAAAAGCCTGTCAAGACAGTCTGTCCTCTCACCAGCCCACACTTCTGTGCTTTTCAGGGATCTAGGGCCCCCAGAGAAGACACCATCAATGGCAGCAAGAGGCCAAGGGACATGTGACCAGACAGGGATGTAGCCTTTTGCAGGTGGGCATCCGCCTATGAGGAGCTTCCTGAGCCAAGCCTGGAAGGTGGACAGCTGCTACTTGGTAGCTGGGGTGGGAAGGCAGGCTTAGACCCTGCAGAGAAGCACCTCCAAGTCAAACAGCGGATCCCTGGAAGACACAGATCCCAAAGGGAGGCAAAAGGGCCCAGAGCCAAACACTGCTGACAGCGGGGAAGAAACAGACCTGGCCCTGGAGCCAAAGCACTTGTCTGGCAATGGTGGAGGCCTCCAGGCCCTCACAGTGAGGCAAGGAAGAGTGGGTTGCCCCAAGTGGGGCCCCTGACCAATCTACCTGGGAAACAATATCCCATAGCACAGGACTGGCACAGGGGTAGTGGGTGATAGAACTCCTATCCCACAGAGTAGGCCCCTGGGGTGGCCTAGCTGAGCCCCAAATGAAGCCTATAGGAACAAAGCTGAGGCCAGAAGGAAGACAGCCAGGGACAGGTAGGCCACAGCCCTGTAAACACCCACAGTGACTCCTTGGTCCCTGCAATGTCACCACCCAGGGCTAGGGTGGTGGATGTGGAAGCAGCATGGGGGCCCAAGAGAGCTCCCAATTACGTTGCCACCTTCTCAGCCCAAGCCCTAGACCCACACATGAAGCCAAGGCTCAGCGGGACCAAGTGGCAGAGGAATGGGGCAGCTGCAGAAGAGCCCGGGCTGGCAGGCAATTCCCCATCTCTAATGGAGGAGGTACTGCCTGCGACCCCAGCCCAGGTCCAGCAAGCCAGCGAAGCAAAACCACAACCAAATCTAAAAAACAAACACGGAAAACACACAAGGGACAGCCACAGGTCAAAGATCACCAGAAGCACCAGCACTTTACGGCTGCACAAAACCTCACCAGGCACGGACAACACCACGGCACCGGCAAGAGACGGAAGCAGGAAGGGCAAAGGAGTAAGTCACTTTCGGTACAATTGCAAAAGAGATATCAAAGAGGACGGCCTCTGGTGGCTCGTGGCTTGGCTTTTTTTTTTTTTGTCTTTTTTTTTTTAAACTAAGTTTTATAAGCAATGTCTGATAACTCTGTGTATAAAAACTAAACTCCAACAGCCACAGAGCTGTCCCCAAGTTTACAAGAAAGGGATTTTTTTTCCCCCCAAACTAGCAAAGTTTCTATTATACTTTCTTTCCTTTTCCATTTATATGGTCAAATGTTGTTTTTTGTTTTTGTTTTTTAAAGACAATTTTATAAATACTCTGCAGCTCTTTTTCTCTTTAGCTTTTAAACATATAATTTAATAACTTCGTAAAAGGAACTTCTTTTTTAAATAAAGGGCTATATAACCACACAAACAGGTCATGTAAACAGTGACACCGGACCCATCGCAGGACACAGACACACCTTCCACGCACACTCACAACTGGCGATTTGGTCTTATCCAGTGCACTGTGCCAGGCTCCAGCACCATGGTACCTGCCCCAGTGCCCAGGCTGGTGGCCTACCCATCCACAGCCTTCAAGACATACCACTTTTCAGAGCAGAGTGCATCTCTTCCTTCTGCACCAAGCTGAGTGGCCCACGGGCATCTGAAGGGAAAGCCCTCAAGTCCCACTGCAGACTAGCAGCCTGTGGAGCCAGCAGGCCACTGGGGAGAGGAGGGCAGACCTGAAGCCCAGTGCACTTGCACTTGCACGCTTGTCTGTCTCCACAGTGCCCACTCTGGACTCCTAGCCTGCATGGCCTTGGTACAAAGGGTTAGGGGCAACCCAACATCACTGTTGAACTGACTAATCCCAACGTACAAAACACACGCGTGACGACAAGGATGATATCGATGGGGCTCAGCCCACTGCCCCTGGGGTGCAGGTTGTGCTTTGCAGGGAAGGGAGGAGGGGGAGAGGGGAAGGGAGAGGAGAGGAGAAGGAAAGAGGAGAGGGACAAGGCTGCTGACTTTGCCACACACCTAGTGGCCCCTCAAAGACCTGCCTGGCAATTGCACGTGTCCCTACGACCGAGCATCCGTCTTGGACTTTACTATTGTGATGACGCTGGTGGCGGCCACCTTGCCAGGGACCAGAGGCCCCAGGCCAGCGGCAAGGGGACCCCGAGCTGGAGCCACAGGGCTGCGGGCCACGGTCCTGGCGAAGTTCTGCAGAGCCTCATACTTGGAGCGCAGGGCATCGAGCTCCAGCTTCATGCTGGCATTCTCAGAGGCCAGCTTCTCCACCTCCTGCTGGAGCTCCGCCTTCTGCTTCTCCAGCTCCTCCTTCTGTGTCACCCGCTTCACTCGGCAGCTGGCGGCATAGCCACGGTTTTTCAGCGTGCGCCGGCGCTGCTTCAGCTGGATGATCTCCTCCTTGGAGAGGCCCCGCAGGTGCTGGTTGAGTTCACGCACTGACATGGTCACCAGCTCCTCATCGGTCAGGCTGGTGCCATTCTCGCCAGGCTCCCGCTTCACCTGGGACAGCAAAGCACACAGGGTCACAGCAGGAAAGGGATGCCCGCCCCATGACACCCCAACCCCAGCCTCCCCACCCTTACCCACTTACCTTCAAGGCCTTGTTTCCTTTATTGGGGGTCGTCATAACCCGGGGGGAGGGCACAGTGAGCAGGCACTCTGCAAGACACAGAGTAGAGGTGAGGACCCTGCAGGCTTCTTCACACCCAACAGGAGGCCTGCTGCCTGGTGCTCAGCCCCCAAAGCTTTGCCCCTCACCTGACCAGAGGATAGCCCTGGGGCCTTGCCTCTCTTGAGCTGGGCTGCTTCACAGGGCCCTTTCCCTAGAGAGCCAGGTGGGAGGTCAGGGAGATCTGACCGGGTGGGAGAAGAACCGGCTGTGTGGGAGGCAGAAGACAAAGGGGGCAAGGGGAGAGATTAGAAGGACTGGGCTGGGGCAGGGGGAGGGCAAGCCTAGAAGGAAGCGGAGCTTTAAAAATAACCCCAGTGCTGCCCCAGAGCACACTGTTCCTGGCGAGTCACGCTGACTCAGCACATTGCCTCCCTCCCTCCTGGAGCTGTTCTCCAGCTCCTGAGGCCAGCCAACAGTGCCCCAGAGACCTGCTGCTGGGGCCAACAGCAGGTAAGGGTCAGCCAGGGAGCCTATACAAGTGTATTCCAGGGTCCTATCTCCCATAGACATTCTTCCCCTAAGCCAGCCTGGGGCAAAGTCCTTTCTCCCTCCAGGGCTTGGGGGGGCTGCCCCCTACCTATTCTGACAGAAGGTAGACCAGGTTCTAACCATGCTGATGGAGAGTAGCCTCACCTTCGAGGTGGCAGGCAATCCAGCTGGGAGGAGCTGAGCTCAGGCCCCTCCAGGCCTCCCCATCCATCTCCTCTACAGATGGAGTAACCATCCTGTGGCTTGAGTTGCGGCATCCTGTGCCTCTGCCCCACCCGATGGTGTTTCACAAGGGCCCCCACAATTAGCAGAGGGAGAGCACTGTTAGCTAGAAGCTGGCAGAAGCCAGCCCCTCCATGTCACTAACTGGTCTCTGGCTCTGCGCCTAGGCCAGTGACCACAAGGCCAGAGAACAAAAGCAAAGGCTACCTCCTACATGTAGTCAGCTGCCCTTCTGGCACTCAATCCCATTTTCAGCATTCTGATGTCTGGCCAAGGGCATTTTTGTACACCTAGGCTGGGAATCCCCATAGCCCAACCAACACTCACCAGCCCCACTGACAAGGACCAAGCCACGCCCCCCCTTAGAAGTGGGAAATGAGGAAGGAACAGCAGAGGGGCTGCCTGTGAAGTCTCTTCCTGAGGAGGCTATGACACTTTAGGCAACAGCATGCTGTGATACGGACTAGGTGTGGGGGTTGGAGGCTTGTACCCTCCAAAAAGCTAAAGTGTGGGCTAGGAGGGAGAGCACAAGTTCACATCAGAGACCCCAACACTCAGCCTTGCATAGGGAGGTGAAGTAGGCAGGAAGCCAGTGACACTTCTCCAGGGCAGACAAGAAGCATTTCAGAGGCAAAAGCCTTCCAAATCAAAGGGGAAGGAAGGAGGTCAGAAAAAGGGGTCTGAAGGTTCTCAGAGGATTTGGCTCCATGCCCTCACCAGGAGCTTCCCTCAGACTGCTGAGCACAGTGACATTGGTGACTTCCTGAGATCACACAGAAAAGTGCCGTGTGGTGGCTGGGAGCTGAAAAGTGCCTCCTCAACAGATTTCACCTCACAGAAGGCCTGAACTCAGCACAAGTGCAGCCAACTGCCTCCTGATCAAAGGTGTGTGTGTGTGTGTGTGTGTGTGTGTGTGCATGAAAGGGGGGAGGGGCACGTCGCAGCAAAGCCAGTGATTCCAGCCACCTGCCTGCCTTCTGCCAACCTAGAAACACAGTGACTAGGCAAACAGTTTTTTGGGGGTGTGAATCCATATTGAGGGATGGTTCAGAGCACTTTTCAGAGCCCAAGGAAGAAAGGAAGAGGATCAGAGACTGATCAAGACAACTCCCAGGACACTCAGCCATGCTCCAGGTACTGACAGCTATGGATAGCCACAAGGCTGGATGGTGCTCTGGGCCATGCACACAGGCTGACAGGAAGGAAAGGTTTCCGCATCTCCATCCTTTCTCTCTGCGCCTGAGGTCATCCAGCCTGGACATAAGTCCCAAGCAAGACAGTGGCCCTTGCTCCTTAGCCTATAAATCGCAGTTACAGGAGCAGCCTGGACTTTCTAGCACCCAAAACTACCGATATTATTTGAAAATAACTTACAACTTGATGTCCACTGAAGCATGTGACTGCAAAGTTTAAACACCTTGTGGGACCCTGAATTTTCATAGAGCATAAAATCCCACCCCAAATGAAAACATGTGGCACCTACAAGCAGCCTCAGCACTCCGTGCTCAGGGGACACTCCTGAGTGCAAACCACAAGGTCAGCCTAAAGCAGCCCTGAAACCCTGGGCCAGAGAAGCTGTACAGGAGGGTGAGCGTTCAGGAAGCTCCACCACCCGCAGGTCAGTAAACACGTACACAGCCAAGAGAAGGGGGCTCAGCTCACACCACCAGCAGGCTGTCGTTCCCAAGCGACCAGGTTAGACACCTATCGGGCCCCACACACATCTGATGAGGACCACCGTGTGTAACTAGGAAGTGCATTCTTCCACTTCATGCCTTCACCTTCAAACTCGCCGACTGCCTAGACGCAGCCTCACCTCCTGTTACCCATCTCCCGGTGGGGCTGCCTCGGCTTCCTCCAAATCACACACTCCTCCTCCCACGGCTTCCGGGTCTTTTCCGTCCACCCCGGACTCAGCGCGCTGGCCAGGGTCACTCGGAAGGAAAGCCTGCTTCCCAGACGGGCAGGCTCGGCCCACCTAAGCTCCTCCCCTACGCGAACTCCTAGATGTTTCCCAGTTTGGGGAACTGCCCCAGGAATGGGACCAGGGCC